GAGTTTCTCAATAGACCCAAGAAATCCCTGTGAATTGATTCAAGAAACTGATAAAGATATGAATAGTAAAAAGATTGTCAATCATGCCAATCCAACTGATAACGAAGATGCAGCAAACAAGATGTTGATGAAACACAACAATCAATTTATTCACCTTTCCATCAAAATATGCCCTTAGAAATCTCTTTATTGAGACATTGATAAGAGAAAAAGCAATGTGCTGGTATCAAAGACCACATATCAAGCAGTGAAATATTTTATTAAAATAAATTTTGCATCACTGCTTTCAATTAATCATGTTTGAACAACCATGCAACTAAAAAAATAAAATTCATGCAGACAAAAATATCAACTTCAATAAACAATGGAAGACACCTTTCCTTTTTTAATGAAAATAGGCATTTTGATCTTCCTCTATATCAATAATCTCAAAATCTTCAACATCTTCATTTTTAAGACACAAGAGAAGTTCAAATGGAACAACAATATACACAAGAAATTGCTTGATTGGAAATGGATTCATCCAAAACCTTTTTTTCTTTCTCTTGAAAAAGATAGAGAAGTTGTCATTGGTGGAACAATACCAAAATCAGGAGCAGATGTATCATTCACTGTTGTTAGAGCCAGATTGCAAATTTGCATCTATAGGTAAAAGCAAACCCAACAGAAGAAGGAAAGAGAAAAATTGTTCGCTGTCACTGGAATATTAATTGTAATGGAGATGCTGTAAAGAATCCTTCTTCTTTCTAGTGTTATGGGAAAAATCTTCTCAACTTTACTGCAAAAGGAATTAGTTGTAATATTTATGTGTGGGGGAATTTTTCAAAAAAGAGATGATTTTCCTGAAGGTTTAAACTCAGACTGTCATACTTTCCTCATTTACATAGACACTCTGAGAGACAGAAGAACAAATCAAGGCACACCATGACTTCTTAATCAGATAAAATGTTGATGCCAATCAATATTGTATCTTCAATCTGAAGAAAACGTATAAGAGGCCACATGCATGAAATCTTCACACAAACAATGAAAATATTTACACCCTCTTCAGAACTCATGAGTGAGACATTGCAAAGGTGTGAAATTACTCACCCACAAAAAACTTAAGTTGGCCTTAAAATCAAGGTGGATTTCAAAATGTGCAAAAAATTGTTTTTTAGAAATTGACCTTGATTTCAAGGTTAAATTCATGAGTTGCCTTTGAAATCAAGGTTGATTTAGAAATGTGTAAAACCTGTTTTTTTTAAAATCGAGGTTGATTTCAAGTCAACCTTGATTTCAGGTCAAATTCATGATTTGCCCTTAAAATCAAGGTAATTTCAAAGTGTCAGAACCAGCTTTTACTAACTACTCACAGTGATTTATGAATATCTTGGCCATGTTGAGTTGTTACATGATTGTCACAATTCTGATCGCGAAGTTGATAACTATAATAAACCAATACAAGCTTCAGTTTAATTGAGCTTGTAGTATCAATCCAAGGATGAAAATTCACTGACTGTGTAATGATTACACTAGCTTTACAATCAGTTAATGTGCATGCTGCACACAAAGTTACAGCCTGGTGTGCTGTGTCTGCTTGTGTGTTAGCTTTTGTGTTTGAAGGTTTACATGCTTTGCATGTATGCCTACTCATGCTTCATTGTTCAATGGCACATGTTTCATTGTTTGTAGGGTGTTACATTACACAAAAGCATATTAAGTTTATTAACGCATGCTCTAGTGTGCTCAGTAAGTGTGATATACTCAGTTTCTTTTGTCTTCAAGTGAAAGTGTGTTGTGAGAGTGCTATCCCCTTTGTCCCTAATATCATATGGAAGGTCACATATTTACATTATAAATCCTCAATACCAGATCTCATAACTTGAGAACAAATTGACAAAGGTTTTTTTTTTGAAGCTGTCCTCAGTAAAGTTTTTTTATTTTAAGATCCTTAGGAAACTTAAGTGTGCTATCTTTAGATTTTAGAGTAGTCTTTTTCTGCATGAAACCCCATGGTTTTCTGAAAGTTTTCCTGGGAAAACAGGAATTGGGAAGGCAAAACAGGTATATAGGCCTATGACCCCTGGCCTTCAAAAAGTTATGGGCCATTTCTGAATAGAATGGGTCATTGCAGTGATTGGGTGGGCTGCAAGAAGAGACACATGGGTATTTTTTTACGGAGGTCACTTTTGATAATGTTTATTAGTTCCACAGTACAGTACAGGTCAGAGGTACACACACATGTAAGTTTTTTAAACACAAAAAATGCACGCAAAAGAGGCTCATTAGTATGTATGAAGCAGTCTTTTGTTTCACCCTTTGTAACTTTAAATGTGTGTTAGATTTATGACATTTCACAATGCTGGCAAGCGATTTCAAAGATGAACTATTGCCAAACGCTTTGGTTCAAACCATGTAAAGTCTGTTACAGTATAACCTGACCAACAGAAAAACACTACAATCCTGCAAACTCAACTACTTTAGTACACAATGGGTGATATTCTTAATAAGGAACAACTCCTAAAGGCAGTACAGTACTTGTGCTCAATAAACTTACTTAAGCCCACTACAGTCTATGTCTACAAAGTGTTCTGGAATACTCCAGAAGCTTGCAAAAGAACTATTTTAGCAGTATTACATAATATCTGCAAGACTTAATGAAATGTTCAAGAAAGTTCTGTGGTATGCATGTCAGCATGACTAAGCAATCTGGATATTTCTAGAAGCTTATATTTACAACAATAATAACTCAAAACACCCTCCCCCCTCAAGAAAAGAAAGTTTGCAAACTTTCTTGCAAAAATTTATACTCTAGAGGGGCAGTCTGGAATAACAATGCCATTTCCTTTTATGTGTCTGATGTCCAAAACACACTCTTGTAATGTTAAACTCCACCTCACTAATCGCTGATTTTTGGCCTTCAACTTATGAATAATGGCAAAGGGGTTATGATCACTATAAACGACAACAGGCAAACTTGGAAGACTAACATAAACTTAAAATGTTGTATTGCCAATACTCATGCCAAACATTCTCTTTCAATGGTGGAGTAGTTCTTTCACTTTTGTTGGACTTCTTAGAAAAACAACAAACTGGATGTTCCACACCTTCATTATCCTCATGTAACAACACGGCACCTGCAGTGACATCACTTGCATCAACAGCCACCTTGAACATGGAGCTGAAATCAGGTGTTGTCAATACCAAGGCACTCTGTAACATGGCTCTCAATTCCTCAAATGCCTTTAGCAAATGCATAAAGTTAGCTATCACTTTAACCCTGGCACAAACTGGTTTTATTTGACCTTGTCCTACAACATGCCCCAAATAAGTGGCTTGCACTTAGCCAAACTCTTTTTTGGAAAGATTTATGGTCAGCTTAGCTCCACTCAATCTCTTAAGGAACTCACAAGTAGGTAGTTCTTAAGTGTTTTTCCTAAGTGTCACTGAAGATAATCACATCATTAATATATACTTTACAATCTTCAAGATCTGTGATGACTTTTTTGCTGGAAAGTAGCTGGTGAATTTTTCATACCAAAGGGCATGACTCTGTCTTGGTAGAATCCTTCTGGTTTTACAAAGTCTGATTCTTCTGATTAGAACACTTGTACCAGTGGATGACTTCTCTGAAAACACCAAAGTGTCACTCAATAGTAAAGACTGCAAGGCTCCAGTGTCACTCAAAATCTTGATTGGTATGGAGTTGGACATATAACTTGACAATGACACTCAACTGTTGTGAATCAAGGGCTAAAAAATATCCATGACAGATTTGGACAGGCCACTGACTTCACTCATAGGACTTGCCTGAGTCTTCTTTCTTGGAACTCAGGAAGGTGTATCTTTACTTACAGCAGATAAAGACAATGGCCTAGCAATAAAGCCATTAGGCCTAGGCTCCACGCTACTTTGTTTTTGCACCACTGTCCACTTTTCTGGGCAGCTAGAAATCAGGTGACCTTTCCTGCAATGGTAACATGTTGGTGGCTTGATGAGTTTACCTGGATCAATCTTGTTCTGTCCTTACCATGAGGAGCTGAAGCAATTTACATAGTTGTTAAGGGGATTCTGTTTGGATCTCCTCCATCACTATCTTGACTTCTCCGGTTTGGAGGAGGCAGAATTCTACCTAGTGGAGTGTGAAACTGACAGGCTTTTTCCATGAAATTCACTTTGCATCTCAATGAAAAATCTTCTGCAAATTGTGCAGTGTCTTCCACATTTCTGCTTTTTGCTCATCAATGAATGTTTGGACACCACTGTGAATGCACCTCTTACTTGCAACTTGTTCTACACTTAACTGTGTAGAAATTTCCCTTCCTTTACCAAATAGTACACTTTGTAATAACATTACACAGTAAACCTTGGACCACTTATGGTTGCTAGCTATTTTCTCAAAGTGCAAAAAATACTTGTCAAAATCTGCTTCCTGAAATGGAGGTACAAACTTTATATACTTTGCAACATCAAATTTCTCACTGGACTTTTTCACTGGTCGGGTCTAACCCTAATTTCATATGTACCTCTAACTTTTTCATCTCTGGTTCATGCTGCAATGCCAGTCTCTCTCTCTCTCCATCCTTTTTTCCATCCTTTCTTGTTGTTCCTTTTCCTCTCTCTCCAGCCTCAAACTTTTTTCAGTTCTTACTCCAGTTGCAGCTTCTTCATTTCTATGTTGTATGGCCCATATGTTTCTGACAATGTTTCCAACATTGTTTTTTTAAAAGCCTCAATATTTACTAAATGTTTCACTACAATATGCTGTATCTGATGTTTTCTCATTGCTTTCTTACCCTCTAGCTCTTGAGGGTAAGAACACATCTTTGGTGGGCTTTGACATAAAAACCACCGGATCAAACTGTGACATCTTGCTATACTCTATTAAAACTTTTACAAATAGTAACTTCTCCCCAAAATAATCTACAAAAAAACTCCATGACAAAATTTGCTCCCTGACAGGCCCCCAATTTCTGTTATGGTATAATCTAACCCACAGAGAAACACTACAATCCTACAAACTCAACTTCTGTTATTTATTAAACAACTAGGGATATTCTTAATAACAAACAACTCCTATTGGCAGTACAGTACTTATGCTCAATAAACTTCCTTAAGCTCACTACAGTCTACATCTTAGCTCACCACTGAGCTGAACTCAAAGTTTCCTCCAACATTTCTTGAAATTAGAAATCTTCCACCATAGCTCTCTCTAACAGTATAGTTTTCCAAACAGTCGGTCACTCGCAAAAACAACAACTACTACTACATCACTGAGTCCATATTTACATTTACAAAGTGTTCTGGAATATTCCAGAAGCTTGCAAAAGAACTATTTTAGTAGTATTATGGAATATCTGATGAGATGTTCGAGAAGTTCTATGGTACAAATGTTAGCATGATGTAGTAGCCTGGAGATTTCCAGAAGCTTATACTTTCAACAAAAATTACTCATAACAGTCACCACATCTGAATCCCACCTTTGTTATAATTCTAACACACTATTCAAAGTTAAACGAAGAGGAAAACAAGACTGTTTCATACATACTAATGAGCTCCTATCGCATGCCTTTTTTAATGTACATATGAAAAAATTGCATGCCTATGCACGTCTTTTTTTAACACCCTTTTTGCATGAATTTAGGGCCAAGTACCTCTGAGCTGTATTGTAGGTTCACATAGCGACAAAGCCTGAATATTGATCATGCTTTGTTTTTACTACTGCTTAAGTGGTGTTCACTACTGTGATAATCATTCTCATATTCATTTGGTAAATTTAATTTGTTTTTCTCTTGAGGACTCACGATTATCAGATGCATACTTAAATAAATCAAACAAATTAATAGTTTAATTGACTAAACTTACTTACAAGTCTCTTGTGAACAGTAAGAATCTACTAACACAATGCTTGGGCCAGGAGACTTGTGTGATATGTTATCTGTATTCAAACCAAGATAATACAACATACTTACAGGACTAAATTATTTGGAAATATTCACATTTTAGGCCTGATACCTTTCTTTGATTCTCTAAACTACTTGGAGGCTCAGTGTTACCTAAATTTCCTCACACATTGTCAACAACTGCCTAATGGGAAGTGCCAGCAAATCAAAATATTTTCCTCATAAAATAAGTCCTTTCAAAACAAAATCACAAGCATGAAAAGTCACTTGGGTGCACTTCCACCTTTAATGACACAAGTTTGGAGACTAAAACTTATCTTTTGCTTCAAAAAGTCCACATAGATAGGGTTTCTTAACATTATTTACCTTCTCACAGAAACTCTTGTGCTGTCAAACCAATATTGCCATTTCCTTTCTTAACTGCCTCCTCGCTCACCTCTTTTTGCTTTTCAGAGATCTGTGGCAGCAGACAGTATGGAACCAGGTGAATTTCTTGTTTTGAACTTTAACAAATTCAAAGTCACTTGGCAAAATGTCTGATAGCTCTCAATGTTTTGTCACAAGAAAGTTGTTTGTTGTTACACTAGCGACTAAATACAGGAATGGCTCTGGCCTGTGATTGGATGATAAAAATAGTAAAAGTTAATAAGTTATATCTTAACTCCTTGCTCGTGAGTATTGTTAACCGCGTGTCTCAAAGTGGAACAATGAAATACCAATATAAAAACACCAATGAGTCAAACAAGAAAGGCTACTTACATAACGAAGAGAAGGCAGAGTTTATCTTGTTCAGCAAGGTCATTTAGCGATATTCTGGCGATGAAAAAGTCATCCGCTGATTATTGTTCACATGAAGGACAAATCCATTCATCGGGCTCTTCATCTCTCTTTGCACAACAACTAAAGGAAGAAAGTCACGGATTAATTTTGCTTGGTAATTTCCAACAACTCCACTAGACCTAAAAAAGGAAAAAAACAAACCAAACCAAAAAAATGTCCTACTAGTCAAACCAGTTGCAGTAGCTCTTGCACTGAATCATGTCTAAGTACCTTGACTGTTTGCAGTGATGGTACAACCAATCTTCGCACAGTTTTCGGCCATAACAAGAAAGAGTAAAATGATTTTATAAAACTTGTTCTA